AAAAAAAAAAAAAAAAAAAAAAAACAGTTACCAGAGAGGGCACGTTTTAAAGCCATAAAATATACAAAATCAGAAACCACTAAACTCCGGCCAGTGCCGCCAACTCCGCCCCCTCCCCACCCACACCCACGCACACACACAAATTCTCTGGTGTTCAATGCAAATTTCCGCGTTCAACTCTCCTCCATGGGCCTTTTTCCCTTCGCGACTTCCGAGGCGAGTTGAACGCAGGTAAAATCTCCGGCCTTAATTGACATTTTAATCTATCCATTGAATATTTTTTCAAGGCTTTTGCATAATTTTCGTTGTTATACTGCTTTTTTGTTTATGTTTGTTGGTAGTAGTATTTGTGTTTGTTCACGCAGCTTAGATCTGTGGGTAAGCTTTATAGAAAGCTTAGTATTTCTCTACTCTATAAGAAAAATATAGGTCTGTACTCCTTCAGATTTGATTTTCTTATTATATGTTTTCTCCACATCTTATTTATTACATCTGAATGCGTTATTTATGTTTGTATTGTTCATATATCTGCTTACATGTATGTATCTTGCATTGTACTATTTTTTGTTTTTGGATTTTGTATGATGATAATTCTGGCGAAATAAGTTTATTATTTTAGCCAATCTGATTGAGTCAGTGTGTTTGGTTCCTTTTCTCCGTGGCCAAAGATGGTATACTCATGAGTGCGTTTGGGTTATGATTTCTTTGTCTATGTAATTGTAACATGCTTTGCTATCAGTAAGTTTGCTTTTGTTGTATTTATACAATTTAATTTCAGATCTTTGACCAGCAGATTCAATGCCTTAATCACCATCCAAAATTATAGAACTGACAAAAATATGCTTGCTTACATGCTTACATGAATGTTGATGAATTATTATTAATGGGTAGATGATAAATGTTGAATCTTATTAACCTTTGACTGGAACCTGCACAAAATTATCAAGGTAAGAATAGCGGCAGTCATTGTTATGGTCTTACTGTCTTGTTAGGCGGGTAATGGGTGCTTGTTCTATATAACAACCCATCGAATCGGCAATTTACCGTGAACGTATTTATTAGAAAATGGGAAAGATGAAGTGATGTTTGAAACAGTATTTTCGTGGTATCCCTTACAGTAAAATGAGATATATTGATTCATATTTAGAATGATTGTGTTTCACTAGATGAGAGGGTTCATTTTGTCTTTGATAACACTACATGATCTCTTCTGTTACTTAATACCAATATGCATAAAAAATTTAGCTCTTGGTTATGCTATTAAACATCTAACAATTCTTGTTTGATCACAATTATTTTCTACGAGTGAGTGTAGCGTGCTGCTTTTTTTTTTTTTTTTTAATTATGTATGTCCATTACAAGAGTCAAAACATTTTTTTGATGCATTTTAGCATTGTTAGTACAATGTACCTTATGCATAAACACCATCAGTCATAATTTTAAGATAAGGAAGATAATACCCAAATTTTTTATTCAAGTGTTAATATTGAACCTACGACATGCTTGGTAGCCATTTAAGTTGCATTACTGATAGTACCTATCATGCCATGTTTTTTCTAATCTTAAGAATTGTATGGTGCTTTCTTGTGATTTGTCTAGTGGAGTTCTCAACATTTTGTTTAAATATATGTAACTTCAAACAATTGAAATGTACTTAGCAATGACCTACCTTGCAGCAGCCCAGTCCTATTTCAATCTGTTTGTTTTGTCTTGATTACCAATTTTACGTTTGCAGGAATTTTATTCTAGGTCATAATGGAAGATCAATACCAGCACCCAACTATTGTTCAGAAGGTAGCCAACCAGCTATATCTGCGTTCCAGTCTCTCCCAGGATGTTCAAGCTCACTATGGGGGCTTGCAAAGATCTGCTGTGTATCATAGGCAATTTGCATATGGCAATCATACAAATGCTGGACTGCAGTATCCTGTGACTTGCAGAGCCACCAAGGATCTGTCATTGATTTCAGCAAATGTTTCGCCTGTGTTTGTCCAGGCTCCCTCAGAAAAAGGCTTTGTTGGCTTTGCCATTGACTTTCTCATGGGTGGAGTTTCAGCCGCTGTGTCAAAAACTGCTGCTGCCCCTATTGAACGTGTGAAGCTTTTGATCCAAAATCAAGATGAAATGATTAAGGCTGGTAGGCTTTCTGAACCATACAAAGGAATTGGTGATTGTTTCAAGAGAACAATGCAGGATGAAGGTTTTGGATCACTGTGGAGAGGAAACACTGCTAATGTCATTCGTTACTTTCCTACTCAGGTTCAAATAATCTCCTGTTTCCATTGCACGTGAGTTTTTGCATACATTCATCTAATTTTATGCATTTTATACTAATTTTTGTTTCACGTTCCATAGGCCTTAAACTTTGCATTTAAGGACTACTTCAAGAGGCTTTTCAACTTCAAGAAGGACCGCGATGGCTACTGGAAATGGTTTGCTGGTAACCTTGCATCCGGTGGTGCTGCTGGTGCTTCCTCACTATTCTTTGTCTACTCCTTGGACTATGCTCGTACACGACTTGCAAATGATGCCAAGGCCGCAAAAAAGGGAGGAGGTGGGAGGCAGTTTGATGGTTTGGTCGATGTCTACAGAAAGACCCTGAAATCTGATGGCATTGCCGGGCTTTACCGTGGATTCAACATATCTTGTGTTGGTATTATCGTTTACCGTGGTTTGTACTTTGGAATGTATGATTCTTTGAAGCCTGTGTTGCTGACTGGAAAGTTGCAGGTTAGTACCGTTAAGGAATAAATCCTACATCGGCTAATTATCGAAATATATACCAACATATAAGAGTTTGGGCTACTCCCTTAATAAAGATGACCTTTTAAGATGTAATTTCAAGTCTTAGCGTGTGTCTGGTTGGAATTTTAATTGTAATTCCAACCGTTGCAATGGAAAAATTGGACCGTTGTAGTCAATTTCTGGGNCGTTGCATTGGAAAAATTGGACCGTTGTAGTCAATTTCTGGGCCCCAGTTGTGAGTGGAGCAGTCAATAATTGCAGCTGGTTTGCTGTTAACGGCTATAAAAATGATTTTAATTGATTTGAAAAAGTGTTCCCAGACACAGCCTTAATATGGTATCATGGTCCAGTATGCTTCGAAGAGCAATTTGATCCAATCAAGATTAAAAAATGAACATGTGGATTTCAAGATTGGTTTGCTCATCTTGCGGGGGCATGTTAAGGGATAAACCCCACAACGGCTAATTACCGAAATATAGAAGGGTTTTGGTTATTCCTCATAACAAGGTTGACCTTTTAAGATGGAACTTTGAGTCTTAATAAGTATATTGATGGGCATCACTCTAGTAATCACTTATCTCTCAACATTCTAGATCCTGCTGTATCAGTAATTATCTAAAACCCTATGAAATTGGGATCGTGAATTGGGTTGTTTTGTTGGATTTTGGGACTGATTCTTCTCATTGGATAGGACTACATATTTAGTTGAACAGATTGGATATGTCAAGTACAATGCAGTAATTTTTATGCATATTTTACCATTTCTATTTAGCCTACATTTGCATACAACATTATTTTGTCAATATGGTACAATTTTTTACTGGAAACTGCTTGCTTATGATTATGATTACAGGATAGTTTCTTTGCTAGCTTTGCCCTCGGTTGGCTAATCACGAATGGTGCTGGTCTTGCCTCTTATCCAATTGATACCGTTCGTAGAAGAATGATGATGACATCAGGGGAAGCCGTGAAGTACAAGAGCTCGATGGATGCATTTACTCAAATCCTCAAAAACGAGGGTGCAAAATCTCTGTTCAAGGGTGCTGGTGCAAACATCCTTCGTGCCATAGCGGGCGCTGGTGTGCTTGCGGGTTATGACAAGCTTCAGATGATCGTTTTGGGGAAGAAATATGGCTCAGGTGGTGCCTAAATTTTTACCAATTTTCTTTAGCATTAGATGGTGATGATATCTTTATGTTTAGTTTGAGAATTCATCCAAGGCGTAACTTTTAGTGATCTGGTTAAATAATTCGAGCCAAGAGTGGTTTGAACCCTTTTTTTTTTTTGCCATTTTTTGTTGTATTATATTTCTGCTATTTTGTCAGCGTAGAAGTTGCAATTTTGCACTGACGGATTTTGTTGTAATTTTTCCTGAGAGGGGTTTTATTTTAATTTTACACACTCTGGATTAATTACATTTTGAAGTTATGAATTTAAATTATTTAATAAGCTAGTGAAATACTGATTTGCGGTCAATTATATAAATTATACCCTTGTTTGACAATCATTAAATTTTTTTTTTTTTTTTGGAAAAAATGATTTTTGGAATAGTGATTTTTTTTAAAAAAAAAAAATTGTGTTTTTAAAAAGTAGGAGAAAAAATATTTATATGCAAAATATTTTATTGTGAGAATTTGGTTTAAAATAAGTTAGAAAAAAAAAGTTAAATTTTAATAGTTGTCAAACATGAGCTTAATTTCTAATGGTGATTGATGACAATACCTGTTGCCGTTTGGTAATTATTTAAAGTATGTTAAGGAAGTCATTATAAATTATTTAAATTATAGATAGATAAAAATAAGGGGTGAATAAGAGAGTAATATTTATGGATTCTTCAAAACATATGAATAAAAATTGACTTAAAAATTTATAAAATGTTAGGATAAAAAGGATGTGTTAGAATATTAATTTGACCAGTGCTCTATTCTAATTTTTTGTCTATTGCTATCAATGACAGGTTTAAAAACAGAGGGAAAACGTGTCAACAAATGATTGAACAGTTTGAAAAAAATAAAAACACAACATCCAATTATTATATGTCACGTCATCATGTTCCTCCAAATCCGTCCTTAATCATGTCTAAGAAGCATTATTTATAATGATGTACATAAGGGTGTAATGACATGGATAACAGAGAACAATTATAATAATTGAATTTATTTTCTTTTCGTCTCTTTTTTTTTTTTTTATCGTTCTTTCTTTCATGTTATCATTATGTGCAAATAGTATTACTCTTTTATCATTATTCTTGAAAATGCCCATCAAGTGATTTTGCCTAAAAGGTCTAGAATTAGTTGAGTAGCCTCAAGGAATAAAAAGTAAATGAAGATAATTTCAAGTATATGAGTGTGTTTGAGCCACATTATTTGGAAAAATGTATTTTAGAATAATAGATTGATGGAGAATGTGTGGTGGAAAAAGAAGGAAAAGTTATTGATGTGATGAAAAATATTATTTTAATGAAGAATATGTGATTGAAAATGAGTAGAAGAATGAAAATGAAAATTTTAATGGATACCAAACACACCCTCAATTTCAAATTCTTTGTCACTTTTTATTATTATTTATTAGACAGTACCAGACCAACTTAGTTGTATTAAAAAGTAGAAAAACGAGAATGAAAATTTTAATATGTCTCAAACAAGTGGCTTAATTGTGTACTGCACTTCTTATAGTTCGTTATTTACTGTCTATTTAAATAGAATTATTGTATTCTCACGTATTAACGTGTTTTTGTGAGCTCAAAAAATAAATGCTTTTCTATAGTTATTAAAGTAAATATTTGCTGTCAAAAAATGAAAATTTTGTACTAAAGATCAAAATAAGTAACTCTTAAAGATAACAAAATGGTTGAAAAAATTGTTTAAAAGTAACATTTAAGTCCAGCCAAATATGTATATTTGTTTCGATTGGCTTAAATTTACGTAATTTTGAGTTCTAAACATGCTTCAATATTTTACTTTTGCTGTAATAATAATAAGAAAACAAAAGGTTACTTAAACATTGCTTAATAGAAGAGGTTCTTTTGTTAGCATAGTTGACTAAACTCAAAGGTTTGGTAAAGATTAAATTCGGATTTTAACATAAATCAAAGTGACTAATGAATTTTACTTCATATATTTTATGATCTCACAACTTTTCAACAATACTTTTTATCAACTTTTATAAAAAATTACAAAAAATATAATTTAAATCCCTATCAAACAGGGGCTAAATTTAATATTTTCTTGTTACATAAAATTGTTAGTCCAAGAATAACTAACCAAGAGGGGGGGGGATGAATTGGTTTTTAAAATTTTTTCGAAAAATTAATCTAAATTCAAGCAAGTAAAGAGTTAATAGATTAATTCAAATAGTAAGCACAAATATAAAAGCGATAAGTAAAAGTGAGAGATGATGCAAACGATATATTTGTGGAGGTTCGATCCAAAACAATGGTCTATGTCCCTCGTTACCAAGCTCTCCGGCACGAGCAAGGCCTTTTCACTATATTGATTGACTTATGGTGCAATCCAACCCTTTACAACGCTTTCGATGACTTACAAACAAAGAGCACTGATCCTTATACAATGTTGAGCTTTACGGGACCTCAACACGACCCACACTATTGAGCTTTACGGGACCTCAATATGACCTACACTGTGACTTTCAACAAGGAGCACCGATCCTTATATAATGTTGATCTTTAAGGGACTTCAACACGACCCACACTTTATCAAAGTGATTTTACAATGAAATTCCTCTCTTGATAAATAATACAAACAAATTAAGTACTAAGAGAGACTAACACTTCAATGAATAGTAATAAATGATAGCTCAAGTGTTAGATGAAAAACTTTGATGAATATAATGATTTTACAAGTTTAGTTCAATAAATCAAAATATCAATATGAAGAAAAAGAAGATGAGTAAAAGTTTATGAAATATAAGTGTAAAAATATTCTTAAAAAATATATCTCTTTCAAATTGATATAGATAAATTAAGCACAAAGAGAAATGACAAACTTTGATAAGAGAAATGATTCAAGAAGTTTGATCAAATATCAAAGTTTTTGCTTTAAAAAACAAATGAAATGAATGTAAAAATGTAAGCTCAAAAGAATATCAATTGAATGCTCTAAAGTGTTAGAATGAATGACAAGTGAGTTGGTATTTATAAAAGTGAAAAACGCCAAACTTTCTATCAAATCGGATGACCGGTCCGGTCGACCGCTAATTTTCGGATGACCAACATAACCGTTTGTACAGTCAAATTTTGGACCGTTGGAGACGTCCGGTTGACCGCCAGTCAACTTTTTTTTTTTTTTTTGAGATATGATCTAAATTCAATTACACTTTGAAAGATCAATCTTACTTTTGATCAAAAATATTTTATGCAAGTTGTATGAAAATAACTTTTCGTGCACAAAATAATTTTTGAGCTATTGTCATTCATTATTAAAGATCAAAGCCTTATACAATTACATATGATCTCGAAAGCATAGCTTTTGATCTTGATTCGAAGTTTCTTTCATGTTTGACTCTTAAACTCTTGATCTTATTCTTCTTCATTAGCCCAATTTGATAGTCTTGATTTTGATCATTTAAGCTCTCATCTCGAATAATTTGACTTGAATGCTTAATTTTCACTTTGATCTTCATTTCGAGTCCGATTTATGATGTGTTGAAAACATTAAGGATGAAAACATTATTTAACTACAAAATATATTTATAAAATAACATTGTCTGTAAAATAAGGGACAAGATGGAAAGTGGTAGCAAATGTTGTTTAACAGCACATTACATGAGATTCACTATTTTATCAATTTTTTAACTATATATTTCATCAATATTTATCAAAATTTAATAAATTTTAATTTTTAACAAAAAGAAATAAGAGCTTATCTAGCTTCTGTTTGACAACCATTATTTTCAAACTTTTTTTTACATACTCATTTTCAATCACGCATTCACAAAATAAAATATTTTGTACATAAATTCAAAAATTTTCATACTTTTTAATCAAACATTCTCTTAAAACCACTATTCAAAATTCTACTTTTTTCAAATAATGGTTGTCAAGGGCATTTAAGTATCTTTTTTTAAGCTTCATCGAAACAAGTAGTCGAAACTTTAAAGGTTCGTAATTGGAGCAGTTTTGGTATATTTATATCATGATTGATAGTTTTGTTTACATTCCATGTGATACAATTTTATCATTGATTTTAACGATACTTAAAATAGTCAATTAACTCGATTTTACACATTATTGAATGTAGTGATGTATACAAAGTGATACACTAAGTAAGTAGCTTTATTCCAAAAGATATATTCAGTCAATCGCCGTAAGCAAATTTCTCCTATCTGTCGCCCACTATTCTAATGCTTGCTCTCTTCTTCCTCAAATCACGACAATCTTGTACTATAAAACCCTTCTCAAAGCGCCCATGTTTTTCTCCAGTTTCACTTCACACTCGCCCTTTCTTGCCCCACAGAAACAAACCGAAGAATAATGAGAATTCCACCACCAAGTGGAACACAACACACACTTTTGTTCTCTCAAACCCCACTCTTTCTCTTCTTGAAACCAAATGCAAGTCCATGATCCAGCTCCTGCAAATTCAATCCCAAATGATCATTACTGGTCTTTCTTTAGATGGGTTGGCTTATAGTCGTCTAATAGCCTTTTGTGCTCTCTCGCCATCTGGTGATCCTAGTTATTCCAAAAGATTATTGTCCCATATGCATAACCCGAATGCATTTTCTTGGAATATAGTAATTAGAGCCTTTACTGATAGCCAAATTCCGTTACAAGTTTTTGTTTTATACAAAAATATGTTAATTGTTAAGAGGAATAGTAGCATTTGCTTAAGGCCAGATAATTATACTTTTCCCTTGTTGTTCAAGACTTGTGCTAGATTGTTGTTGTTTCATATGGGCCATGAGATTCTTGGGCATGTTCTGAAAATGGGTTATGATAGTGATATTTTTGTGCACAACGCTTTGATACATTTCTTAGTGTCGTGTGGGGAGTTGGAAGCTGCAGATAAAGTGTTTGGCGAAAATTCTGTGAGGAACTTGGTTTCATGGAATTCATTGATCAATGGGTACGTTAGGAGTGGGAAACCAAAGGATACACTGAGGATATATAAGGAAATGGAGAGGGAGAGGGATGTGAATCCTGATGAGGTTACTATGATTGGTGTGATTTCGGCTTGTGCTCAGTTGGAGGATTTGAGGCTTGGGAAAGAGTTTCGTCAATATATTCGAGGGAAAGGGTTAAATATGAGCATCCCACTTGCTAATGCTCTTATGGATATGTACGTGAAGTGTGGAGATCTTGAAGAAGCAAAGACATTGTTTGATGGAATGGATGATAGGACCATGGTGAGTTGGACAACCATGGTAGTGGGTTATGCGAGATTTGGATATTTGGATGCTGCTAGGAGACTTTTTGATGAGATGCCGGAGAAGGATGTTGTACCCTGGAATGCATTGATAGGTGCTTATGTCCAAGCCAAGAGTGGGAAAGAGGCGTTGTCTTTGTTTCATGAAATGCAAGCCATGAATGTTAAGCCGGATGAGGTGACCATGGTTAATGTCTTATCTGCTTGTGCGCAGCTTGGAGCACTTGATGTTGGTATTTGGATTCATAATTACATTGAAAAACATAACCTTACTATAAATGTTGCTCTTGGAACTGCTTTGGTCGACATGTATGCCAAGTGCGGTAACATTACAAAAGCGCTTCAGGTGTTCCATAAGATTCCTGGCAGAAATACGTTAACATATACTGCTATAATTGGTGGCTTGGCACTTCATGGGGATGTACAAGATGCTCTATTAATTTTTCTAGAGATGATTGATGTTGGACTAATGCCAGATGAAGTTACCTTTCTAGGGATTTTGTCTGCATGCTGTCATGGGGGTCTGGTGGAACAGGGCCGCGATTTTTTTTCCCAAATGAGCTCCAAATTCAAGATTTCTCCGAAGCTTAAACATTATTCTTGCATGGTGGACCTTCTTGGTAGGGCGGGTCTTCTAGAGGAGGCCATAGAACTTATTGAAACCATGCCTTTAAAAGCAGATGCTGTGGTATGGGGAGCATTGTTTTTTGCCTGTCGAATACACAAAAACATCGAGTTGGGAGAAAAAGCTGCGATCAAACTTCTTGAGTTGGATCCTCGTGATAGTGGAATTTATGTTTTGCTTGCAAACATGTATGTTGAAGCAAATATGTGGCATAAGGCTGGGAATGTGAGGAAAATGATGAGGGAGAGAGGATTGGACAAGACTCCTGGTTGCAGCTCCATTGAGTTGAATGGAAATGTTCACGAGTTCATAGTGAGAGACGAGTCACATTCTCAATCTAATCAGATTTATGCATGTCTGATTCAGTTGACAAAACAAATGGAGCTTGTAGAATCTGTAGCTGGTATATGCCATCTGAGGGATGACTTCCAATTTGGCTGAAGTTGGCGGCTAAACTTGAGCGAGGTCAGTCAGAATGCATTTTATCATACTTGAATTTTCATGATGTATTAATATGTTGACCGACCATTTACAATTTTCTCCCATTGCATGATCCGTATAATTTTCCTATTATGTTTTCATTTTTTTATGTTTTTTCATAAAGCCAAGAATCCCAATAAGCTACAGGGTTATAAAATAGTAGTCTCCTGATTGACCACTGTTTCGCGCGTTTACTCACTGACAATTAAAAAGGGGTCAGACGATTGTGTAAGGGACAAATCTCTTGAAACAAAGTCCCAAAAAGGGGTGTTTACTGAATATGAAGATTACAGTTTGACACGAACAAGATGCCTCCAAGGGGCGCAAGCACACAAGTACAAGGGAATTGAAATAATTAAAGTTAATCTAAGAAAAAGTAAATTACATATTCTCTGTTTGAGAATGAATTTTGTCGGGGCTTTCTTCGTTGTCTTCTTCTTTCTTTTATACAGTTTGGCAGTTTTTAATCGTTTCGAAACTGTTTGAAACCACCCATTTTCTTTATCATGGCCAACATGTCAAAAACTGCCGTTTATAACTGTCACCACACGACTCCATACCATTGAGATTCTTAGATCGTGGATGTGGCATAAACTGCTTGAAACCGCTGCCTTGGATAATGACAGGACGTTGTCTTCACTGGGACTTTGGGCGACTTAACCGTTTGGGCGATGATGGACTCATAGCTCTGGGCGACTACAGGGTATTCATTCGCTCAACATCTGGGCGTTCTGCAGGCTTGAGCGACGACGTACCTTTGTTTTTGGGCTTTCATCATATTTAATGATATTCTTAGTCGGGCTTTTACCCTAATCTCTCTAAATGAGCTTCCTTTCTTGGGTCATTTGAATTGAGCTGCACATTTTGTGTGTCAACAACCACTTAGTCATTAAAGCTGGTTGGCTGTCAAAAATTCTGTATTTCTGGAGTACTATGGAACGTACATTGAAAAATATTATTGGGGTATGAAGAAGATATGGTTCCACCGACCACCACCGAGTTAATACCCTAAATAGTCACCGAACTTTGCCAAAAATTCCCGGGAGGTCACCGAACTTCAAAACTTCCCTAATTAGTCACTGAACTTGGCAAAAAATTCCTAGGAGGTCACTGAACTTCAAAACTATCCTACATAGTCGCTGAACTTTGCTAAAATTTTCTAAGAGGTCACCGAAAAAATTGTGACCTCATACATCAATGATTTAGTGACCCCCTATGAATTTTTTGTAAAGTTGAGTGACTAATTAGGACATAAATAGTTACTGAACATTGCTAAAACTTCCTATGAGATCACCAAATTTTGAAAATTGTGACCTAGATATCAATGATTTAGTGACCCTCTAGGAATTTTTTGCCAAGTTGAGTGACTAATTAGGGTAGTTTTGGAAAAGTTCAATGACTATTTAAAGTAGTTTCGAAGTTCAGTGACCTTTTAAGAACTTTTTGCAAAGTTCAGTGACTAATTAGGGAAGTTTTGAAGTTCAGTGACCTCCTGGGAACTTTTAGCAAAGTTTAGTGACTATTTAGGGTATTATCCCACCACCTCTCTATTCAGGTTCCATCCCCCTATATCAAGACCTCATTGTGAACTTTTTTCTACACCATGTTCGCGTGATATTGTCATAACATTCGGTTCGACAATTTTTTCCTCAGATTTAAAACAAAATCAATTAAATCACATGGAAGCAAATCCGAAGAATTGTTGCTTTTCATCATTGATGGATCAATGCATATCCATGGGCTTGCTTTACTGTGAAGACTAAATACAATTGCACCAATAGGGAAAGAAGAACATGGCTGGATCTTTTAATTGAAAAGATGCACACAATGCTATTTCCCGTACTCACCTTTCTAGGGGTCTTGTCACCGTGCTTCCCACAGGGGTTTAATTGAAGACGATCTCAAGATTATTTCCTGAATGAGTTCAAGGTTAAACATTTGCCAGAACATCCTATACTTGCCCAGTAAAACTATTTGTAACTGTAGGTCCACCAAAAGAGCATGCGAATATGAGGCAGATGCCATGGTTTGGGAGCATTGGCTTTGCTGTTTGAGTTTTTGAGGAAACCTTGAGGTGAGGAGTACTATGAAACTTCATGATTGGATCCCGATAAGATTCAAATTGTTTTTCCTTTTTGCCTTTGTAACTTGTATTTTGAAGCAAACACGTGGCAAAAGGCTGCAAGGTGATAGATGATGAGGAGAGATTAATATACTGGACTCCTTGTCTGCCAATTGAGGGTAACTGAGAAGTTATGTCATCTCAGCACTGGGCGCAACTTGTGACTTGATGAGGCATCTGTAGCTTGATGATGTATTTGGTTTTCTCCCTTTTGAAAGATGGCCTTTTATTATCTCTGAAGCCGGCATCTAAATTTTAATGAGGTTGTCTGCCAGAACCCCTTTCTTTAGTGATTACTTGCACGATAATTAGTGAGATCCGATTCATGTACCATGGGGACCACATCCAAAGACTCATCAGAGGACAAACCTTTGAGAGGATTCACAATTCTCCCACTACAATGAGGCTCTGGTGGAAGATGGAAAGCATTGGTTTCTAAGTGCTCACTAGTGGGATCTATCACATTTGCATAAATCTCTCTCCAGAATCAGCTGGAGTATGGAGATTAGATGTATCCAGACAAAATACCACACTTTGAAGGTGTCAAACTATGCTCCTTGGTCCAAGATATTGATACAGGGAGTGGATGTGGTGCCAAAAAGTGAGAGCCCGAGGGCAAGAGAATGTCCAAAACAAGTTGAATAAATCTCAGCATTCAAAAAGCGAAGATGATGATTGCCACATGATGGAAATGGTTCTCTTACAAACTCCTTGATTTATGCATCAACAGATCAAAGTGGTATGTAATTCTTTTCCATTTTTAAGGGTTCTTATATCAGCATTGTGGATGTAATTGGAGGCTTACAGGGGTATGCCACCTATGTTATGTGTAATGTATGGCTTTAGGCACCTAATAGAATCTCACCTCCTTCCAAAAGCATTATCAATGTAAAATCATTTAAGGAAAATTTCAAAGATGAGTTTTGATTCACATTAGACATTTTGGAAGTAAACATACTTTTGCTAGTGCACGTTGCTATATACCAGTTATACAAGAACCTGTCTGCTGTGTATTAATCTGTCTACGCTGTCTCGCCCTTGATACAAAAATGAATCTCACCTGAACAACAATGGGCATTAAAACTACTACATCTAATCTAGCATCACCTGCGAAGGATTTTTGCATGTTCAGGGGTTGGCATGTGACCCAGTTTTGGGGTCCAGCGTATTGGGCTAAGCTTATAAACGAAAGTAAATGTTACTTTTAAGTAAATTTCTACACTACGGAAACTGGAAATACATAAGCGTAGCATCATCTTAAAAAAAGTTGTTCTAAATTAGCGTAAACATGTTATGTTTTTGAACATTCTCTTTAGGAAGTTAATGAAATTATGAATACATGAATTCAAAGACATGATCAACCCATCTAGTGAAAAAAATTTCCCCACAACAAGATGGGATTAGGAACTTTGGATTTGGCCCTCTTAATTCTTTGATTTTTTCCTTGACTTAGATGAGGGTTTCGATTGCTCTGCACTCGCAGTCTGTGAGGAACCCTTAAGAGTTAGTTGTTGGATTTGATTTCGGGTTTACGCTAGTAGCAGCATCTTTTGTTACTGCACCCTGAGAACCCCTAATTTGAGCTGCTCTCTTATCCTTTCTCTTTGGTCTGTAACTTGACCTTTCCCTCTTTGGCAACCACCTCTCAGGGTCTGGTGGAGGGCCTGGGTTTGCTGGGTTGAAACCTTTTGGGTACTTTGGCTTTCTCTTCCTTTTCTTCTTTGTCTTCTCCTTACTCTTTGCTTCATATGCTGCAGTTATGCTCACGGTTGAACCGCTTTCAACATGCTTTGCACCAGAAGTTTTCTCCAGACTCCCCACGTCAACTGCCTTCAAACCGGGTATTGGTTTCAACTGCTGCTCATAAGTTTCTGCTTTCTCAATATTTGTATGAGCGGTTGTCTGAATAAGCCCGACCAAAGCCCCAATGCTTCCACTTCTTTTCACCAGCTCCTCGTATAGACGTGCAGCCTCGTCCTTCCTCCATGTCTTAGCTTAAAAGAAGCAGCCTCTTCCATGATGATATCAAGCTTCTTGTCTTCAGTCATGGCACTAGACCACCACTGAATTGCAGCATCAAATACAGCATCAGCACTATCAATATCTCCAGTATGCTCTTTCATAGAAACAATGGTAGCAACAGTTGCTGGCTTGTGTTGAATATCAGGAATTTTCAGCAGAGATTCAGCTGCTACTTGAGGATGGCCAGCCGAAGCCGCAACCTGTGCCCTTGCAAGCAGAAAGACCTTTGACTTGTCAGGGAACTTATCTGCGAATTGCCCTAATATCTCCTCTGCTTTGTTCGCTTTGTTCTCTCTTACATGTACTGCAGCTTGAAGCAGCGCGGGCATTACACTATCCGGAAACATGCTTGGCAGCGCAAAAGCGAGTTCTCGAGCCTGTAGTATTTATTGATTAGATGACTGGTCAAAAGAAAATGAGGGGGGCCAACGGGCAGTAAGGCATTTGTTATGTCAAATTTCAATCTGGAAAGATGTTAACAGGAAATTTGTGAGAAGAAAAGATATCTCGAATGGATTACCTGATCCATCTTATTAGAATGAAGTTGCAACAGCAGACGATTGATGAATATTGCTTCTCTTTGCTTACGTGAAAGCTTTAGGTCAAGACCACGAGCAAGCTGGAAAGTCTGGGGTCCTTCACCTTTCTCTATCAGCTTATCAAGTTTTCTTAACCTGTCAGCCACATCCTTGGGGCCTTTCAGAGCAATACGGTTGTTTGTTGCCACTGCAAGTGATGATTCATCTGCCAGATTTCTCTTGATAACATTGGTATAAGATTCAAAAGCTTCTTGTGTGTTACCTAGGATCTGGGGAACATTGAAAAAGGAAAATGATTGCTTCATTGCATACAAGTGGGAAACCGATAAGGAAATTGCAAATATATTATCACTATCTCACCTGTTGAACATATGCTAACAGAACAGCTATAGGGGCCAATTCAATTTCTACGTAATCATTAGCCAAATTCTCTTCCATCAGTGATTCCTGCCCGATTCTGCAAAGGTAAATGTCAACTTCTGGAAAAGGTTTACCCAAAAATGCATTCAACTATCCAATGAATATAACCATCAAGCAAAAAGTTCTGAAGAAATCCAAGGGTAATCTCCCCAAAGACACCACGTGCACAACAGCGAATACATTCAAGAACGTGCATGAGCATAATCCCAAGAGAACAAGGATGTTTTCCAATATTTTTCATGAAAAATGTGTCTTTTCCATCCAAATTCCTACTTCTGTACTATTTGATTGACATTTTTTTTTCATGGAAAACATCTTCCTAGTTCTTGGTTACGTGACCATATTTTTTCTCAAAATCAAGGAAATATTTCTTTACGGGAGTATGATTTTATTTTCCAGCAAATTCTCTCACTCTCTCTCTTATCTATCAACTCTCTCTCATCTAATCGTCAATAAAAAATAGATATGTATAATATTTTATAAGTTTAAAACTAAATCAATCAAACACATTTAATTAATAATTTTCCTAGAAATAAGTTCAAGACAATCGAATCACCTAAAATTTATTTTCTTTCTATACAAATTTTATACTTGCAATCAAGTGCATCCTAATAGTTTAAAAACATAATTAGAAAAGAAAGAGGACAGTTGATACAATGACAGAGAATGACAACTTGACTAACAATGCAAACTCTAAAGTAGAATGATATGGATAGTATTCTGATATTCTCAAACACGAACTAATATCATTTGAGGCAAGTTCTCCCTAATTTACATTAAGCATAAAAATTTTATGTTTCCAGAGAATAGATGTCACCTTCTAGCTGATAACAACAGTTTCTCTGCATCCTTGTACTTGTTTCTTTCTATCAATGAGCAAACAGTGTTATATGCGAGTTCAAAACTGCTAGTTGACTAAACTGTCGGAGAATCCAAAGCCCCTTGCACGTCAGTAGCCCTCCCAGCAGAAACCAAACTAGCAACTACATTTATTTCTAATGACTCTATCTTGGACTTTTGGATCTCTTGATAAATATCCGCAGAAGCATCCATTTTTCCCAAACTAAATAAAATTTGTGATTCTAACAGCATCATTGCAGAGTTCTTTTCTTTCCCTTTCAATGATTCCAAAGCTTCGTCCAACTTATTTTGCCGATATAAGCAGTATGTCTATTCAGAAACAACAGCGAAAAAATGCTAGAGCATATAGCCAACACTTCGAGGAAATCAATGCGTAATACTAATCAACAAGCTAAATCACCATGAGCATAATAAGGAAACCAAATGAGAGAAAAATGCAGCTGAAAGTATCCTTGCACTTCATGCTATTGTTAGGTTGAGAGGAAAAAATGCAATGAAAAAGGATAAAATGATATAAAGAGAAGGTGCATTCTTGATAAGGCTAATGCAGTCATAAATTTTTCACATGCATTAAGCTTTCAGTGTCACTATTCCTTAGAAAATTGTCACTAATAGGATGGGCAGAAGTCTCCAATACCTGCTCCCAGGAAATAAGTGTTGATAGCTGAGTTCTCTAGCAATTTCTCAAGATTAACTTGCATGCTAACACTATGTACTTCTTCATCTTCTTTTCAATCATGCTATATGTGCACTTTTTTGAAATCAAGTTTGACATTTTGCCATGTGTCACAGCACAAATGGCCAGTTCTAAAACAAAACAAACTTTCCCGCCCATTCATTTTTGAATTTGTACATAATGTCATCCACATTGTCATCTATGGAATGCACAAGAAGCTTTATTCTTCATTTTTGTTTTAATTCTTTGTAACTAAGACCTAGTGAGGTTGTTGATCTCTCTCAATTGGATTTTTCTTCTCCTCAATTTGATCGACTTAATAGCAGCATACCTTCATCAGCAAAATAGAGAAATCCTCTGAAGGGGGCTTGTTTACTATGGTGCAAGAGAAGCATATCTTAAGTTTGTGAAGATAAATAAATAAATAATTAAATGCAAAAAGCTATCTGTGCATACTTTTTGTCCAAATATATATGTTTTATTCCATATAGTTTGAATTTTCCATCATCCTTAACTAGTAAATAGTTTAATTTCGGAAATTAGGACATCAGTAACAAATATGTTCCTAGCGTAGAAAATTGATAATACGAAAGTTGGCTAAATGAGCTAAGCCTTTACCTTCCTAATTAATTTCACTCTTTTTTGCCATTCGTTTCCATGCTAAATGCAACAGATGTGCTTCAATACAGGGGCGGACCCACAGGCTTTAGAGAAATTAGTGCAAACGAAATTATGAAATAATCACAAACAAGAAAAACCACTTAGAAAAGCTGTAATCAGTTCACTGATTTCAGCATCAACCTAGACAGTAGCCCATCCACTACCAAAAAATTTCCCAATAATAAAAAAAAAAAAAATCATTTATGTAACCTAATCCTCCATTCACCCATCAATTGTAAATGTAATAAAATTTGACAGGCTATAGAGCATACTCACTGGTAATTATATTGAAGAACGTAATTGGTTGAAGATCAATAGGATTTTAGAAACTCATGAATTTCTGAAAGTACAGAACTCGCATAGTCGAATATACACACAATCCTTTAAAAACTCGTTTTATATTAATTTTTCGTTCTTCCACATTAAATATCAGAAAACAAAATTTTTTTGCCCGCAGAACAATGAAGATAAAACAATACAACACAAATTACGCAGTGAAACGTTCGCCTTATGTCGCGCCTAATTATCGCTGCCACTACTAGTTTGAGAATCTTCATCAACGTCATAAAAAACTTCGTCAACATCTTCAACTTCATTTTCTTCCATCTGCTCATTATGTTCCATGACGTGATTTTTATAATTTGTTGCCTTGTCAATCTGTTTCCAAAGAAAAACTCGAAGCGTAAGATTATGTCGAAAAGTATAACCAAACAATTTACATTTCAAGTAACATTTAAAAGAATTAACCTGCGCTGATACAAGTTGCAGACGACCAGACAACTGGAATAAAGAGTTCATGGCTACACCTTTTGAGTTGGTAAGCTGAAGAAGAAACAACAGATAATGCGTGTGATATGACTTACCGGAAGGATCAAAACTAAAAACACAGAGAAAATTATATCAAGTTCATAAAATAACCTCTAACATGTACATAGACACAGAAATCGAGAACTGAACTGAAGAATAAATATTGCACGTCGAATTTGAACTTATGAGAGCAAAGGTAAACCAAATGACAGATGGAGGAACAAAGTATAAAACAACTTTCACAATATACCTCGTACAAGGAATCTAGAAGTTTTGGTTCCTGAGATTTAACATAATTGCCGTGATACACCAATATACAGCGTATCCATGGAAGAATGAGCTTCCCACTGCGAGATCTGGCCAAATAAAGTTTGAGCAAAACAACAACACGAAACAAGCACAAAACCTATAACTCAGAAGTAGTAATGATAATTTAGCTTCCGTTTGGCAAAATTGATAAATGGTCAAATTTCATTTTCAACACATATTCCAATGGACTGACTTACTATCCACTAGTCTAAGGATGTGGTTCATCCTTTATAAGCTTATACAAATTCAAAGTGTTTTTGAGTCTACATCATCTTTCACGAAGAAAACAATTTCTATTGTTTTCATTTCCAATAAGAGAACTTTTTTCTTTGCTCGCAAAGTCATACCTGTGCTATTAACATGTCGTATACAAATAATTTGCGGTTAAGAAATTTAAAATAGCGTACCTGGATAGCCAGACATCCACCAAGATTTTTAGCAAGTTGAAAGCATCATCAGGTTCCATGGATAAGATTGCTGCCTTTACCTAAGATAACAACATGCAGTTATGAAGAAGGTCGATTTTGCATACAACAAATTAGATAATCAAAAGTATGCACACAAGAGACAAACCTTTTTTAACGGCACAATAGCTTCAAGATCAATACCCTTCAACATTTTTGAATCCAATATTGAGCTAAGCGTGGAATCGATATTACCAAGTATCCCTAAAGATCTCAGCTTGTCCTCCATGCATAGTGTTCCAGTATCAACATCTATTTTATCTGCATCCCCAGTAAAAAATAAACTAGATCATTCATGCAAGAGAAATATATTATAGGATTATCCGTTTAACCCCTTTTATTTAATGTTTATTACTTAATATCCATCAAAAAAATTCCAAGATGTGAATATTATAAAATGGAAGACTCAGAATTGATGATGGTGCTCAATATTGGTGTAATCTAATAAAGATACTCGTCTATTGTTTATATAAGAGAAAAATAAAGCATCGTTTATATGGATGTCATCAAACATACAATCATTGATGTGCCATTACTTGAATGAAAATATCCTTTTGTTAACCATATAATACATATAAGTTTATGTACACAAGTAAACTACATAATTTAAGTTACATGCAGACAAAGATTCAATGAACAGTAATTCTTTTAATTAAATCATATCTTAATTGATGCATTTACTCTGTTGTAAATTATCATAATGTCTCGAAAAAAAAATTCCGCATTCATGATGCCAACTGAGAGAATGTCGAGTCAAAAAATAAAGGCTCATCGACCTGAAATATGTAAACTATGGCAACTTCAGGAGAGAGCTTTAATTTTTAAGCACCTTTATTTGCCACAGAATTAGCTCCATTCTTTCCATCCATCAACTCCAAAACTTTGGGCTTAGGAAGCAATGCACCCTCAGCATTTGCACGATCCAGAGCAGTAACTGCTTGTCATCATAACAACACATCACAACGTATACAAGTCATGAACTTGATATTTCGAATAAAAGGAACATATTTCATATAATAGTATTTGAAAGTTGATATACAAAGTCAAACTGAAAACTAAGAAAGTAGCATTTGCATGTCAGAAAGACCTACAACAAAGATTGATGCAAAATACTGATAGGTGAATCAAGTTTACTTTTATTAACCCCGTGAGAGTTTCCATTACCGATGAAAGATGAATCTAAAAGGAACTATAAGGGCTTTCTTTTCAAATTGGTCTGTTCATACTTCATATTAAGTTAGGATGAAATGAGCTATTTGAGCTATCATGATTACATATAGTGCACATGTATTATTTATCTTCATAGATGCACTATGGCAGTGGAAATTCTAAGTTATTTTAAATTTGATGTATTCAAGAAGTAACTGTCCAAAACACAGTATGTACTGGGAAAGCCTAGTAATGCAGGCAACTGCGACAAAACAAAGACAGTTTTCTTCCTTATATGGTATGAGTTTTTCCTTTAATAATTAATACAGTACCAAAGGCATGTAGACAAGACAGAGACAGTTTTCTTCCTTTATATAGTATGAGTTTTTCCTTTGATAATTAAGCCAATAATAAACTTGATAATGCATATTTGGTACACAGTATTGGACTGAAACTATAAATACCAAGATTGCAACTCTTTTTTGGTAGAATCCAATCTCCCAGACAAGCATTCTTTCAGTGGAATCACAACCACACCATATCATTCAAACCATGATAATGACAACTAAAATATTAGAGAAGGTGAGAGAAAACTGCCTTACCTTGATTCTGCCTTTTGAGAAGGATTCCATCATCTGAACTATTTAACTTTAAGTCTGTTCCAGAGTGCACCAGAACTTTCTCAAATGATGGTTTTATTAGGAAACCATAGGCAAGAAACACATGACCACAAGCAGGCTCAGAAACCGTTTGTAGCTTTGCAGCAAATACATTAGGAATTGGTCTCTTGTGTTTCTTTAAAACTCCATCATCATCAGATATGCTGATCTTTGTGGGTTTGGAATTGCGTACTTCATCAATTGTCTTTCCATGCCAAAAATAACACACACCCATTTCTGATATACCCAAAATACATAGACCCTCATCATCTGGATCACTGCTACTAATGCACCTGCTATACAAGAATTTAGCAGGGTGATCCATTGTAATAAATGCACATGCCGATTTGGTTTTGCTGCCGTCAATTTTCCAGATTGCAACATATACTAATGCACCTGCTATCCAAGAAGATAGCAGGGTGATCCATTGTAATAAATGCACATGCTGATTTGGTTTTGCTACCGTCAATTTTCCAGACTGCAACATATCTTTCACCCACAGAAGAAGAAAGCACATATCTCCCATCTTCAGAGAAAATCATACATCTAACAGCCCCCTAGTTACCGACAAACAATTTATGAGCCATAGGTGAAATGAAAAGTCAGAAAATTATCTCTATTACTGTCATTGAAGGAAAAACAGGTCAAACAAAAAGATGTATACAATAATTAAAAGAGAACTGAAGAATCTCACAGGATGGCCTGAAAACTTCTGCACTTTCTTGTGATTTGAGGCGTTGAAAATCTTTAATTGGGCCGCTGCAGTTGCTATCCATTTTCCATCTGATTTGCAGGATATCCACCCAAGAAAGAAAGTGACATAATCAATTACTTTTAAGTCCTATATCGTAACATTCAAATGCTAATATAAAAAGGTGGTAGCAGATTATTGATATTTAGCTTGGCATCAATTCAGCCAACAAGAAAGCATATATATCACAGCCAAAACCTCTCTATGGACCTATTATTTGTCTTACTAGACTTCTCACATCACCAGAAGCAGCGAATTACATTCAAAAATAACAAATGACCCATTCGTCTTTTGTACTTTTCTCTAATCGTGCAGCAGTACATTTACGAAGTATCAAAAAAGCAGGAAGTTACCCAGTAATGCACACTATTCTGTTTATGCGATTTCTTGCTACCACAAGGAAACAGTGTTGTTATCTTCGGGATTCCTTGGATAAAAATTTCACAAATTAATCTTTAGTTCGCACATAATTGATAATGAAAAACAACATTTCCTTTGGATAACCAATGATAATGCATTTGTTTTAGTCAGTAATTAATGAGTAGTAATCACATATATTGTTATATAATTACATATTTTAGCATGCTAATCTTGGTAATGGATTCAATTTCCCTCCACAAACTAAACTACTCTATCTCCATAACATACACACCCAAGTTTCATGATAACCATTCTGAAAATCGACCAGGAGATTACTGAATTTTGTTGCTAAAAATTTCTCAACTATATCATGAGGAAGAAGTTCATTCAATTACAAACAAAGTCATAAGGTAGATATATACCTGGTGAAACGGAAATAGAAGATACTGCTTTGCTAGAAGAAGCACTGAACTTTCGCAATAAGTTTCCTGACATTGAATCGAGTTCACAAACCATTCCATCAGCACCAGCAGTGTAAATGCGTGGACCATGAGTAGGAAATGAAATTGCGCTAACGCCCCTGCATAATGTATATAACAAATGATTAAACAACCCAAACCCAAATTCTTCACTTTCACTTCGGCACGCATACGATTTATACCATCCATTTAAACGGGTTTGTATTTATTTCACAAACTTCAAAAGTATCCATCCAGTAGGTCACATCATATATCTTCAGGAAATTTAGAATAATAATCATTTTCTTTTTTCAATGTGGGTCCAAGTATGCACCTTGATACAACCCCAAATAATATTAAACTGCTCTGTTACATAATATGGGAACTTCTTCCTAGAATCAAGAAACAAAATCCCACAATTAGGAGCACTTCTTTTTAAATTTAAGTTAAATAAACTAAATATGTCCTTTCAATATATGATATGTTCAAAAACTTAAAAATGCCCATTTCTTCTTTCAGTAATCCATGAAATTCAATAGCATATGAGTGTAACAAGACACAAGAAGGTGAGAGTGACAAAAGAATACAAACGTTTGAGAGTTACTTATCTGCATTTACAGACACTCAAATATTTGATCAAAAGGATTAAACAAGTCAGCAGGAATCCAAACAAAATCTTATCCAAGGCCCTAAAAACTACCTTTCATTTAACATCACATACAAATCAAATACATTAGATAAAAGCTAATGGAACTTGCAAGATTTACATTCTTTCAGCGTACAAAAGAATGCAAGGTAACAAGTTTTCATAAAAAACGCACCCGGGATGACAATCATTAACCCTCCATTTCAACTGACCAGCAAATACATCCAATGCCAGAACATCGCCACCACCCGTTCCCAACACCAATAGAGAAGTTCCAAGCTTCCTTTTTTTCTGGACAACCAACATATTATTAAGCATTAAAACAAACAGGCAAAACCGAACATGCTAACAAATTTAAAGCAACAAGGATATAGCAGCTCCATTATATGCAAAAGCAAACCTTTTTGTCCACTGACAACCACTTCATACATGTATAATCCATTGAAAGGTGTCCTCCTCCCTGTCCAAATATACCTGTACTTTCGTTTGAAGTAACATCAGAAAACTCTGTTTGGACCCTACCCTGCACGGTGTCCCATATCTGAAAAATTCCCAAACACAAGCATTGGTTAAATCTCCATAAACAATGTAAATAAAGGCTCACAAACGCCTCCAAGTTTCAACTACTTATACTTCTAATACACCGCACTTTTATTAATTACGTGACAAACAAAAATCAACTTGCTAAAATTTGGCAACTTCCATTATTCTTACACCTCAAAAACAATAGCACAAGGCGCGCGTGCGCGCACACACAAAAAAAGAAACACAACATCCAAGCCAATACATATATATATATACCTAAAGTAATTCCTTTTCATAAAATACAAGGTTTTGACAATTATATTTTATATTAATTTATGTAATTAAGAAATTACATATCACTTGTTTCTGATATTAAATTATGATTTCAATTCTTAAACGAGTACCTTTATTCGACCATCACCGGGGCTGATAGCAAAGAAGTCCATAGATGGACTGAAGGAAGTTAAAATGTCTCTAACATTTGAAGACCCCATTATAATTTTTTGAAAGCTGAAGCACAAAACGAGAAGAAAGAAAAACAACTCCAGTAGCTTAAAGACACAGAATTGATTTTGTTGGCTTGGTATTTCGAAAGTTGAAACTACAAAATAGTATGTGTTTGTGTGTATTTTTGTTACTCATGTTCCACAAATTCTGGGATTGCAGAAATGGCAGTGGTGACACAAGCAATCATAGTCAGTTTCACCATCTTTACTTCACGAGCTCACAGCTGCAAAAAATATATTCATATACATTAGCCAGCTATAGAAAAGATTTAACTGTGCAAGCACGAGCGGGGGCGCAGTCTAGAGAGAAAGAGAACGAGTCAATAAGAAAAAAATTTAGCCTTATTCGCAATAATTTTGGAACGACTACATAAATACTTTTTTGCTGCTCCGTTCAATCAATCGGTACAGCAACAAAATCCTTCAAAACCATGATACTCTATGTATAGATTAAAATCTTTCTACATATATCAAGAAAGAGATCATCAAGTCAACACACAGAGACTTTACGACTTCGAATTCCAGCACAATATTACAAATGTTAAAGAGGAAATATGAAGCCTGAAAGGACAATTTAATATCGAGGTTGTGTCGTGTTCATATATCTCACAAGAAGTATCAGTACATATAAAAGTTTCATAAACATATTTATAATGACTTTCAGTTTAGCAAAATTAAAGTTGGAAACTAAAGGCAACCTGATTTTAATAGGAAAAAATAACTCTAATATAAATGCAATTGAAAAAATCCAAAAAGAGTACATCAAGTCTAAAAGATTCATATCACAACAGAAAGGAAGCATCATGCAGCAAGACCCATGACATGATTAAATGGTTAGTTCAAGCAGTGTTATATGCGAGTTCAAAACTGCTAGTTAACTTAACTCTCAGAGAATCCAAAGCCCCTTGCACGTCAAGTTCAAGCAGAGTTATATGCGAGTTCTAATCTGCAAGTTAACTTAACTCTCAGAGAATACAAAGCCCCTTGCACGTCAGTAGCCCTCCCAGCAGAAACCAAACTAGCAACTACATTTATTTCTAATGACTCTATCTTGGACTTTTGGATCTCTTGATAAATATCCGCAGAAGCATCCATTTTTCCCAAACTAAATAAAATTTGTGATTCTAACAGCATCATTGCAGAGTTCTTTTCTTTCCCTTTCAATGATTCCAAAGCTTCGTCCAACTTATTTTGCCGATATAAGCAGTATGTCTATTCAGAAACAACAGCGAAAAAATGCTAGAGCATATAGCCAACACTTCGAGGAAATCAATGCGTAATACTAATCAACAAGCTAAATCACCTTCAGCATAATAAGGAAACCAAATGAGAGAAAAATGCAACTGAAAGTATCCTTGCACTTCATGCTATTCTTAGGTTGGGAGGGAAAAAATGAAATGAAAAAGGAGAAAAATGATATAAAGAGAAGGTGCATTCTTGATAAAGCTAATGCAGTCATAAATTTTTCACACGCATTAAGCTTTCAGTGTCACTATTCCTTAGAAAATTTTCACTAATAGGATGGGCAGAAGTCTCCAATACCTGCTCCCAGGAAATAAGTGGTGATAGCTCAGTTCTCTAGCAATTTCTCAAGCTATGGCAGTTCTATTCTTTTAAACATCGTGCACCAAGATTAACTTACATCTGAAGGGGCTTGTTTACTATGGTGCAAGAGAAGCATATAAGTTTGTGAAGATAAATAAATAAATAATAAAATGCAAAAAGCTATCTGTGCATACTTTTTGTCCAAATATATATGTTTTATTCCATATAGTTTGAATTTTCCATCATCCTTAACTAGTAAATAGTTTAATTTCGGAAATTAGGACATCAGTAACAAATATGTTCCTAGCGTAGAAAATTGATAATACGAAAGTTGGCTAAATGAGCTAAGCCTTCACCTTCCTAATTAATTTCATTCTTTTTTGCCATTCGTTTCCATGCTAAATGCAACAGATGTGCTTCAATAGTTATCTAATAGTTTGTTGAGACCATCCAGACCATGTAATGCTATAGACCCACAATCAGGTAATCGATACATGATTAATATTATTCTCGCCCAAAAAAGAACAGAATAGACAAAAATTCGCGAGCACCAAGTATAATACCCCAAAAGTTCAGATATTAAGCTGAATTGCTAGTTCACTGGCCCGTGCATGGAAGATAGAAGAAATTGGAATAATTGATACTTGGGGGAGAACGCTTAATCAATAAACCAAATGTACCTTGAGAAAAACAAAATCAATGGAATATTGTTGCCAAGAGAAGAAGAGTGTAGACTGGAATTGAAGGAGAGATGAATTGTTGAAAGGGGAGGACTGGAGACGGCTCAGACGGGAATTGAGTCGTGAAACAGTGTTGATGCGGTGCGGTGAGGTTAGGTCATTTTTAAAAAAAAAATGGGTCAAAATTGAGTAGGCCCTCCCGTATGGGCTGGGCCTAACTAAAAAGGGCCAAAAATCAGGCCCTCCACATTTGGGCCTGATGCGCGGGCCTCATCCGCCTCTATGCAGGACCGGCCCTGTTTGTTGGAACACTGTTCAATTGCCGATAAAGCTTTGTCGACGCTATCGTTCTTAATCAACGCCACAATCTTACATCTAATAGCGTCCTCGTCTCCAGACGAAATCGAAAAAACTTCACCGCCAAAAAAATAACAAAATTTATTCAATGTATAATTATAAAATCCAAAACGGCAAAACCGTATATTGATGTATATATACCTTGATCTGAGATTTTGACGGCTTGATCGAATTCTGAGCGTTCAATGTGTCGATTGAGGGATGCGAAAAAGGTCCTCTATGGCCACCGCTGGGGCGGCAGCAGCCGGTTTCGCTTTCGGAGCTTCTGTAAACGTTCCTCCGTTCCTGGTTGCCTTGAGCGGAACAAAAGGTGTTTGGGCTATGGGCCTGGTGTGGCCCAAACTGAATCATTTTTATAAGGCCGAACTGGGATTCTTAATGGATTACAAAAACTTATGACGTCACAAAGACGATAATGTCCACATGATAAATATAGGGATACTTATATAAATACCCCATATTTTGAGGTACTTTTGGAAAAACATGATAAAGTCGGATTAAATGGTAATTATGTATATTTGAACGTACAAAATATGCTCAAACTTAAAAATCACTATTATCACAAAAATCAGCCTCCAAACTGGAAAATTGGAAGAAGAAAGAAGAAATATTTCACAAATTCGTTCATTATTCAAAACTCTGAAAAAGATCGAGGTTACTTCAACATTGAAAGTTTTGGGAAAAGATCTAGAAATCTTCTGGTAACACACAAACAAAATTATAAGTTTTTTTTTTTATGTTTTTGGCTCCTTGTTTGATTAGTTCCCCAATTTTATTATTTTAAAATTGTTTAGTATTCTTTTTGCATAGATTATGAAAGTAACAACAGTAATTATCACTTTTCAGCTAAATAATTAACATTTATTAAGTTTCTTTTTGATAATTTTATTATTGTGATTGGAAATATATTTGAAAATAACATTGTTGAATTTTAGAGGAAAATGATTGTGAGTGTGTTTGGTATAAATTAAAATCAGATTTTAAGTGGATTGTGATAAAAGTCTTTGAAATGTGTGGTTGAAAATATGTGGGAATCATGAAAGATGTAGTTAATATTGATTGTTTGACTTTAATTTATATTAAAATCAGATTAAAATTTAGCCCAAACAGGGCCTGTGTCAATACATTTGAAAATTAGCTTTGAATCAATTAAATTTAACTACATGCATACATGTGCATTTTTTCAAATTTGAACATTCTAATTCAAGCCTTGTTTTATGATAGTACAAATGAAAAAATAATTTTGAATCAATTAAATCATTGATGCATATAATGTCTTTTACATAATGAGAATGTGAATTCTATCACTTTTCTCAAGAAAAAGGTTATACTACATCTTCGGAGCAATTAATTAGATGCATATGTATGTATGTTTGAAACTTTGTACATACAAATTCAAACCCTATTTTATGTTAATACATATGAAAAAGAAAATTTTGAATTAATTAAATCCTGATGCATGCAAAGTGTTTGACGCAAGGAAAATGTGAATTCTAACACATTCCTATAAAAAAAAATGACATTCTGTCACTTTTTTTTAAAAAAAAGTCACGGTATCTTACAGGAACAATTAATTAGATACATACGTGTGCGTATTAGAAATTTAAATGTATGAATTCAAACCTTATTTTATGTTAATACGTATGACAAAGAAAATTTTGAATGAATTACATTGATGCATACAAGGTGTTTGCTCAATGAAAATGTAAATTATGTCACTTTTCTATGAAAAAAGTCGCACTCTGTCATTTTTCTCTAAAAAAAAGTGACAATATCTCATTGGAGCTATAAACTAGATGCTTATATGTGCATTTTTGAAAATTTAATATATGAATTCAAACTTTCTTTTATGTTAATATATATGAAAATCTGTGCGACTTTTTCTAGAAAAAGTTCCAGTATTTCGTTAAAACAATTAATTAGATGCATACATGTTTCTTTTTGGAAATTTAAATGAGTAATACTATTTATAGTTGCTCACTGTAGCAATCACCCTATGTGACACACACATGACATGTAGTTATTTGATGCATTAATGTGGTAGTTTTTTGATCACATTAATGTATTAAATACACACTTGACATGTGTGTACATAGAGCAACTGATGCAGTGAGCGACTGCAAATAACATTATTCAATTTAAATATACTAATTGAAATCTTTTTTTTAATCTTGCATTCAATTTATATTTATTTGAATCAATGCAATTGATATATCCAAGGTGTTGTGAAAATGAGAGTGTGAAAAAATGATATTCTATCACTTTTCTATGAAAAGTCGCAGTATCTCACTGAAACAATTAACTGGATACGTATATGTGTGTATTTTAAAATTAAATTATACGATTTCAAACTTTATTTTAATATTGCATTCAATTCATATATATTTTTTAATTAATTCAATTGAA